ATGGCCGGTCCTCATGTACAATTATTTACTGCGGAACTGCGGAGATGCGTAACTGCGAATCTCCGCAATTTTCAAACTACCGTCCAAATGCAAATGTCAAAAATAGTAGATGCGGATAACCTAGAAATTTGTACCGGTTTCTTTTCGAGTATTTTCATTGAGGTATTTCAAATAATTATCTATTAATCTTTATGTGAAATATATTTACAATGGAAAACTTTGATGAAGATACAGCTTTCTTGGCTCTTGCTGTTTCAATGAAACAATACAGAGACTGTGCTTTGAGGTATAAAAAATGTTACCGTGAAAGATTGATAAAAATGTATAAGATATACAATTCTATTCTGGAGTTTCAAAAAAAACATAAAAATATGTGGGTGAGAGATATTTTCTTGGCTGATAATTAATTATAGAGACGAAATAGATAAAAAACAAACTAATCAAACACGTTTTCAGAATATAAACAAATACAAATGGCCGATAAATGTCACACGAGCACAAAAGTAAACACCGGAATACGGAAAAAGTTGAACCTAGTCAACTTTTATCCGGAACGCATGCGGATCTGTCACTTTTTCAAAATGGCTGCTGTGCGTCCAATATTTTTTCGATATTGTGATCACGTGATTCCGCATCTCCGCAGTTCCGCACTAAATTATTGTACATGAGGACCGGCCATTAGTTAATATTTGTTTTGTATAATAATTGTAGAAATGTTTCCTATGTATGATCTAGTATGTATTTTATTGAAAACGCCATTTTCCAGATGGAAAATTGAGGACAAAAAGGATTTTTTAAATTGCGAGAAACCTGTGCCTTATTCTATCGATATGGAAAAAAGGGGAAGTTAAAAGACAATGTGTACGTTCGGAAGTTTCGGATTTCAATGGTATTCGGAGTATAAGTGGTTGTGTGGAAGCGTTTATTTAAAAAAAACTTTTCTGTAAACCAAGTTTAATTGTGTGTGTAAAATCGGGCGTATGGAATAAGAGGGGATTTAACAATTTTGCTGTTAACACCAGATTAATATATGCATAAACAAATATCTGTGTTTTTATAGGAGTAATAATCAAAGAAACCAGCAACTGGCCGAATGCTTTCTACGCTTGGGCAGTGGTTGCCTTTGTCTGGTACATATTCTACTTATTTATGGTATTCTCGCGTCCCAGTACACACCCCTTCATAACAGAAAAGGAGTTAAAGATGTTGAGTGAAGAATTGGGTAAGCTTTTACAGTGTTAGTCAGATAATTGTTTTTGGGGTTCGAAAAATGCATTTATTGTTTGGGCTGGTGGAAAATCAATTTGGTTAGTTGTGAGCTTAAGCCTGTGTTCTAGTTCGAGTTTCGAATTATGAGTTTAATAAATTATGCAAAAATTCAAAAGAGAGTTAAAAATTTGCACCTTCCTGCGCTAGGAAGCTGCTTCTGGGCAATGGGCTTCAGCATGCGTTGTCTGACGCGGCTGAAGGCTTCTGTCTTCGTGGCGAAATGGCGGAAAATCTTCGAAATATGCGGAAAAATTTTCGCGCCTTTATACGCAGTCGGTGACGCTGTAGCTCTTCGTTACATGCGTCTGGTACGGTAGATAGCTCCAGAGGGGAATTCTGGGAAATATTAACGAATTATTTTTGAAATATGGGCGAATTTCGACTATTATTATTATTTTGTATGGTTGATTTTATTAAAAGTTGTGGAATTCCTTGGGTGCTGTAATGATTAATTTTATTGTTCGGTTAGAAAAGTATATGAAGATGGCCACTAAACCTCCACAAAGTGAATTCCGCCGATCTCTATACAATGCCATATAGCTCACCTACACAATACTGCCGGCCAACGTTGCTTAATGTTTGATTTAAATTATAGAGGAGTCCAAGAAATTTGTCGTACCCTGGACACAAATTCTCAGATCTGTGCCAGTTTATTGTATACTGTTGTCCCAACTCGCCCACGACTACACGTACTTCACCCTGGTGACGGATCTGCCCAAGTACATGAAGGACATCCTGAAATTGAACATCAAAGACAACGCCACCTTCAGCGCCATACCATTCTTGATCCTAGGGTTGTCGAATGTGCTGTTTTCCAAGCTGAGTGACTTCATGATTAAACGCGGTTGCAGGACCGTGGTAATGAGGAAGGTGTATAGTTTCGTTGGTAAGTCACTTTATGGCACTAAAGAATACAAAATGAAAGATTCATTCCAAAAGATAAAAATAAATTAAAAAATGATGAAATAATGTAAGAAATATTTTATAAAAAATAAAACAGATATTGCAATAAAATCTTGGACAATTCACGCCTCTTTTCGCCGGAATGGCAAATATTTCGCACAATTAATACGTTCACATAAAATTTTAAGAAAATGTCACATTTCATGGCGCTGTTGTTGGTCAGAATTGCAGTAAGGTCGTTTTTGCATNCCTTCGGATCTATTCATCTGCACTGCCCTCTCATTTTTTTCTTCATCGACCTTTTAATTCCTGATACCGCATGTTGCACCGTTTCTTTTTTTTTGAATATTTGACCTACAAGGTTGGCAGCACCGGCAGCGCCCCCACCTAGTGTGGTTGGCTACCCCGCCATGTGACGGTCCTCGTTGACTGGCTTCATATGTCATAGTATACACACGTATTGTACGTTATTGAAATATTTGTTATTTTACTAAATAAACTATAAAATAAAACATTCAAAAGTGCTTAAACAAATCAACACCGCACAATTGTTGTTTTACCTAAGTACATTAACATTTTTCGGTATATATTAAGATAATCATTAAGGAATATTGCCACGGTAAAAAAAATATACCTTGTGTATTCTTTCTAACCTAAAAAAAATATTTTGGTGTTGATTGAAATATTCTCTCAATATTTCAGTCAAAGTTTTTAGTTTTTAATACTTATTGCACCAATTCACTTACCTTTAATAAACTTATTTAGCAAAATAAACTAAACAATATAATACTATTATAACTTGGTAAAAGTTAGTAGTTTAGCAGATGACTTTGTGATTTTAAAATCAGTATTTGTGGAATTATACGTTACATTTACATAAAAAAAAACAAGAAAAAGTACCACAAAATTTTACGCTTAATTTATTATTATTGGGTGTCTTTATGCATTCATTTTATTACTTTAGTATTATTTTATTTAATGAGAACTATCTACAAAGTATTTTAAATTTTCCCGCGACACCACTTTGATATTAAACTGACTTTGGTAAGTAACTAGATATGTTAAGTTGGCAACGCTGCGAAATCTTGTTACAATTAGTGTCGTCTAACTTTTCCGATCGAGTTGCACATACTATTTTCTATCACAAGTGCGAGTCGTTATGGGATCTATAGCGTAGGGGGTTATATGCACGGAAAGTGCCAGATATAATAGTGCACTTTCCGTGCACTAATACTTACTATAGGTCCCATAACGAACGCTTGTGATAGAAAGTCTGTTATTTGTGCAGTGATTCATATTTAGACAGATATGAAAATGATTAAATAATGGCGTTTTTGCTTTTTTTCGTGTAAATACAAATTTGATTCCTTTTATCAAAACCTTTTATCTTCCCCTTGATTTAAGAGTACCTAGTACGATTTCGTTTGAACTAGAAGTCCCGTTGACCATATATGGACCTCACTCACGTTTGACAATTCCTTAATGTAACCTGGACATACCAGGTAATCATAAAATAATTGGCACCAGCGCGTTAAAATAATGTTTTCAACTTTATTAAAGGAAAGTTAAGAAATGTCGTTTTTTCGAGACGATCTAACGACGTTATGGATTGTCCAGACTTTAGTTATTATACGTATTTGTAGAAAATTTTGTCTATTTTAATTTGGTATATCATAGTTAAAATCAAAAAAAGCTTAGTTTTCGAGTTATAGTTAAAAAACTGGAAAAAGTGCCGAAAATTTGAAGTTTTTTGCAATTTTGCTTGTGAAGCCGATACCTGGCGAGGTGGCAAACCTTAGATTCGGATTCAGCACCCCAAAAAACACATAGAGCCGGTGAGAAAAAACTTCTACATTTTTTTCCTGGAAACGCCGTTTTTGAACCTTGGATGACTGAACTACAGGGCTGGAAATCCACATGGTCCATCTGCCTTTACATGAGAGCGACAAAGTAAAGTAAAGAAATCCGTGCGATAGACAAGGATGGCTATAGTGAATAGTCACCGCCCGTTCGGGTTAGACGACTATTCAGATTATGAAACGTATTCAATGTAACCATCCTTGTCTATCGCACGGATTTCTATGACTTACTTTATCGCTCTCACGTAACGGCCGATGTACCATGGGGACTTTCCGAACCTGTATACTTCAATCATAAAAACATTCTCTCGTTAGGACTTCGCTGATAGCACTATTCGAAAAAATAATGGTTATATGCAGTGGCGACTTCCATACCAGGGTGGGAGGAAATATTTAGGTACAAAATATAAAAAAAACAAATATAATTGAATAGTTTCATTTTAAGTACTATTGAAATATAGAGAAAATGTGCTCAACATTATTTTTTATAGAGTCCATTCTTCTTCTGTCCGAAATAAACTTTTTCGTCAAAGTTTGGTACTTCCCATACCATTGATTTCAATAGATAAGCATTACTGTTAGTCTGTTGTTCTGTTAGTCAATTTAAACTTTTACAATCTTTCAAAAAATACACAAGAAGCGATACGTAATAACCAAATTTTACACCACACGTAAACAAATTATAGAAAGCGGTGAATAGCTATTTATTTGATTACGGGCAAACTAAACCAGCCCAAACTGCACGGCTACTCCTACTCCGTCACCGTTACGCTACGGTAACCATGACCACCGCTGTAAACACTTTACAGATTTAGGTCCGAGCTACAATTTCAGTGTTTTTTAAATGAATTTTGCAGGTCGAGTTAAATTGACTACACATTACAAATTTAACGTTTCCTAGTTAACTCAATTTTAAATTAATTTTTTTTACTATGAAAATTCCTAAGGGGACAGCGCCCCAAAACCCCCCCGTACGAGTCGCTACTGGTTATATGGGCTTTTGTATTTTCTAGTATGGAGCGGTAGTGGAATTTTGGTCACAACAGTAAAATTTATTTATTATTTATTTATTCTTCAGGAAATGTTTTCCCTGCTATTTGCATGGTGACTGCGGCACACATAGGATGTACCAGAGCGGGCGCCATCACACTGTACACCGTAGGGATGTTCTTCATGGGTTTGTATTATCCTGGAACAATGGTGAACATCAACGACATCAGCCGCCACTACTCTGGCACCATCATGGCGTTGACCAACGGGCTGTGTTCTTTGACGGGTATAGTAGGGACCTTTGTGGTTGGTCATTTGACCCCACACGTAAGTAACTTTAAACGTCATTTATATGTATCCAACAGGATCAAGTCTTAATTACAGGAAAGTGGGAAGAAAGAAAAAAATGTAAATGGAAATACATGCAACAAAAATACATAGTATATAGTAAGCAATAATACGTACAGGATGTTCTACAAGCTCTAGGACAAACATTGACAGATGGTATCAAATATTTTTTCTTATATGAACATAGGTCCAAATCGTTCTTGTTTAGAAGTTACAGGCATTTAAAAAATATATAACTTTACACAGGGTGATTGAGTCATAATGTCATTAATTTTAAGAGGATATAGAGAAAAATGAGTATAATACGATGGCGTGATAAAAAAAAATTTAATGCATATTTAAGTTGAAAAAAAATATTTTCAAATCATTATTTAACCCCCTTTTCAGGCTGTTACTGACCGGCTGACGTCAGCCGGTTATTCACAGTATTGCACGGCTACGATATGAACAAGGCGCCCTAGATGCTACGTTGCCATATTTATACATTTTCCCACATATAAAGACAATAAATAAACGATTTGCTCACGTCAGCCAATAATAATTTAAAATGCTATAAATTATTTATAATAACATATTAAATTGTTATTGTTGCCCAGCAAGAACCTCGAGGAGGTCTGAGCATGCCTTGCCAAAAATCAGTTTTTATTAACATCATAATGTTAATTTTTTAATTTGCTGTAAGCCTTCGGGCTTACAGCAAATGTTCAAATTACCGTTACCGCCTATGCACAAGTATACACGTTGGATAGATGAGCGGCGGATGCGATGGATTAAACCAGGATTGTTACATATTTCTTCAGCGGCATCTTCAATACCTACGATTCTGCAACTGCTCTACATTCTTTACCACGGTGCGATACACGATAGATTTCATATACAAAAGTCCATAGGATTTAGGTCCGGCGAGCGCGCTGGTCATCTTATGGGCTCTCCTCTCCCTGTCCACCGATATGGGCATTGATCGTCTAAAAATCCACAGACATCGCGAGCAAAATGGGCCGGAGCTCCGTCGTGCATATACCGCATATCTTGTAGCATCTGAAGGGGAAGGTTTTCAAACAATTCTAATAAAAATTGAAAGTAACGCGGCCCATTCAGATGTTCAGGTAGAAAACGCGGCCCAATTAAACGATCGCCATATACTCCTGTCCATACATTAATACCAAATCTCCTCTGAAAGCTAAACCAACGAGTAGTGTGCGGGTCTTCATCTAACCAAATGTGACTATTATGGCTGCAAAGAAATTAGCTCTGTTTCACTTTAAATAAAATTTAATATTGAAGTTACAAAACTCCAAGAGTTCAAATAATTTAAATTTCATTTCATAACCATTTCAATTGCATTACAGAAATAATGACATAAAAAAACAACACTCACTAGATAAATTATAAAGAGAGGGTGAAATGTATGTAGTATTTAAATATTGACTGTAAGTAATAGAAGAGAGACTTGTATATTCTATAAAAAAAAAACAATCGGTCGGAGACAAATAAACAACTCGGTACGTGTCTCCGACCTAGGCTAACCTGTCAAGATTACTAACTTTCTAACTTCTAACCCACTTTTGACTTGCACGTGCTCTATATGACTGTAGTAGGATCGTATTCGATGCAAAGTAGAGCAAAAAGTTGTTGGTCTTTTATCAAAGGAAAATCGTGTCATCACTTTTAGGAGGCATAAAATGAACCATTTCAAATTTAAAATGAAACTGATTGATTCTGGTAGTAGCTGTACTCGCCCAGGTGCATCGAGTGTACGAAGTGGTCGGTTATACGTCAAATACTAACCTAGTGAGCTTGGTCGTAAATCAGAGAGCTCCTCCGAAAAACAGTAAACAGTGGCGCGTACAAAGGTAAAATATAGTACATATGTGAAATTTAAAAAACAAATTGGATTTATAATAAATTACGTTTAAAATAAATAGTTTATGAAAATAAAGGAATTTTTGTGGGAACAAGGGTGCCAGACATGAACTGATCCCTTCGTCCCTTCATAATGTATAAAGAAATTGTTTAATTTCTAAAACCCTTAAAAGCGTATTGCACTGGATCCCGTGACAGGCAATGATTTATTACTTTGCATCGAATATGATCTTACTATAGAACTCAGACAAGACGTAACAAACATTTTTGTCTCGATACATGTTAAATAGATTTTACCTTAAATATCGTGATAACAATTGTTATTGATTCATTAATGTTGATGCTAAAACAACAAATGAATAGGGATGATTGTTTTCGAATGTACGGTTATTACAATTTATCATTTTTAATATTATTAACGTTTTCAAGTTTTATAATTTATTGTGTTAAATAATACACAGTTTTAGTATTATGTTCAATTTATTATTCAATATGCAGTTGCGTATAACCAAAGTTTACATAATAAATGTAAACTTTAGTGTAAATGTAAACTTTGGTGTAACCTAGGTAGGTACTTATATGTTTTTCACCTGTTTAAAATGCCAGCACGAGTAAAACAGCATTCATCTGTCCAGAGCACTTTGTTAATAAAGTTAGATTCTGCTGCACTTTGAATTAGGAACCAATTGGAAAATTCAAGACGATTGGGGAAATCAGCTGGTTCTAATGCTTGAATTTTTTGAAAATGGTACGGGTTGAGTGAATTCTCGCGCAATATCCGCCAAACTTTGGTTTGTGATATCTCCAATCGCCTTGAAATTGTTCTTGTAGAAAAAATAGGATGCTCCTCGACTAAATTTAAATCAGCCTCTACCACATTTAAGTCATTTTGTCGATGTCCTGCACGTTCTCTGCACGGTATGATAGACCTCGTGTCACGAAGACGTTGGACGGCTTGCACGCTTGGGAAGTTCTGTCTATCAGGGAAACGTCTCTGATATTCAATTGCAGCGGTATTTGCATTCTGTACACACTCTCCGTATAAAATCACCATATCCACATATTCGGCATTCGTATACAAAGCCATCACTACCGACACTTTAAACAATCCGAAATAAACTAACGGTTTCGTGTGTCTTTCCAATCCACATCCCCTCTTCATCTGTATGGTGCAATCTTCACTCCTTTGCGGGAAAAATGCAGGAGATATGGTGGGTGGTAGATTTGAATAAACGCTTTAAATTGTTAATGGTTTTATAACTGTGTGTAGTGTATTTTGTATATTCGGGTATTTAGTGTGCCGACTTTTTATACTTGATAAAATACGGTGTGCCTACAAACAGGTAACTACCTCTGCTTTATTTATTTTCTTTTAACGAAAGTTGACTTCGAGAAGTCAGGCTTGTCAAAACATTTTGCACTAAGTTAATACAATTGTTAAAATTATTTCTAATAAAATGCGGCATGCTCCTTTATTTACTTGCATTTTATTGGTTTCGTACATGTGTATACGTATACTAAAGCGGATTAAGTGGATAAGTTTAACGCGGAACCCAAAGTAAATGTGAATAACAAATTATGATGTGAACTTGGCAACGCTGTTCGCTTCAGCCGACGACTGGTTCGTGACATTACGTTACAAAATTTTCAGAGCATCCGGGCATCTGGCCGGACCGCCCTCTTAGCGGGAATTATGGATTGATTTCCTTCATTTTTAAAAGTCGAGTAAAATTTTTGTTTCCGATTTTCTGTCTTTATTAGGCCTTTCGAATACGTGGTTAAAATTAATGACATTTTGACTGAATCACCCTGTATTTCAATCAAATAAATTAATAAATAAAAATTATGGTTGCTGTATTTCGTTTGCTATTTTAGTTGTGATCCTAATTGCTACTAATTGCTTAGTAACCAACAATAATCTCTTCTCACCTCATTTAATGTGAAAAATTTGACATTATTATTTCGTTTGGTATTGTAGTTACAACCCTAATCTCTATTATATTTTAGGGGACAATAGAAGAGTGGCGAAAGGTGTTTTGGATAGTGTTCGGAGTGTGCACAATAAATACTACCATTTACGTAATTTTTGGAAAAGTCGACCGGCAGCCCTGGGATTATCCTAAAGAAGAAAAAGAAGAAGAAGAAGGAGGAGGAGGAGGAAAAACTGAGTGAATTACTCTAGCGTACAAGTATATAGGAATGTAATAGGCTCTCAGTGTTATATGTTATAAGTATAGATATACTCATGTACTATATAGTAACTAAATAAAGATTTATGTATACATGCAAACAGAATAAATAGCTGAGATATACCTCAGTTATTCTAGATTCTGATTCGCCAATTAAATGAGATTAGCTGAGGTTCCAGAGCTGCAAAGAGAGACAGTCTAAACGTATTATATGTTTTGTGGTCTAAACCATATGAGTAAATAAATTTAATTTTAGTAAATCCGAGAGTAAATTGTACATACCAGGTCCGACCTTAAGATTAAAATGGAACAATTGCAATTTTTGCTTGCTATACACCAAATAAGGGCAATTTAGGTATACAAGGAGTTTTGAAATTTAGAAGAAATTAGCATTATTTTAATTAGTTGTAATTAAAAAAAATACATCTTTCAAAAAATGCACGGAATTTTCTTCTAAATTAAAAATTGACCAGTATATTTAGATTGCACTTATCTAATATTCAGGTAAGTAAAATTTATTAGAAACTTTTAAGTAGTTATAATTTTTTAACCGAATTTGGTTATAACTACGGGAATCTCAGTAACAATTAGATGGTATGGAAAAGTTTATATGGACAAAATAGTGGATTTAATGTTTAAGCAACATTTCATAGAAAAAATTGCTTCCTCTTCGTATGAATATGGTTAAATAAAGAAAAAATCTTTCTTTTCAAAATTCGGCTGCTACTTCCTTCCGGCTAAAAAATTCTTGACATTTCCGGATCCAAAATAACTTCAGAAATGGTTTTATAAGCTAATATAGTTTTATAAGTTACGCTTTCAGTTAAGCCAATTCCAGGTTTTCCAGATTCCAGATTGATGTACACTCTGTAAATATGTATTTACCTTTATTCGAGTGTAAGTCCTATTTTGACTAGATTTGCAAGACGGCAACTCTTTGCACGTTTACACTGGAATATCTGCAGTAGTCACATGTGTTATATCGAAGATATAACTTGCTCCAACACTTACTCAAAGGTGGAAACCCTCAGTTTAAGGAATAAGCGAACGCTTATCTTGATAAGCGTTCGTTCGGTTGAAGTACCACCTTGGTGAGGTCACGCGGCTAATAGCCACTTAAAGTCACTACAGGCTGTGGAAAACATAGCCTTCCGCACGGCCACCGACGCGCCCTGGTACGTAAGAAACACTGACATATTACGAGACTTACAATACACAAACGCTAACAGACAATAAGACAAAACGCGGAGAAACGGTTTGACGTAGCCGCTAGACATGACAATCCCCTCCTCAGTCAAGCCGTTGACTACGTACCCGACATGACCGACAAACACAAAAGACCTAGACACCAACTTTTTGACCCTGGGTGACCACCTCAACCTGACCTTTTCTGTTTCAGAAACCGCCTGGATCAAGAAACGAAGACAACGACACACACACACACAGACATACACACCCCCCATACCCTCAATACCCCTCCCCTCCCGCGCTAGCCTAAGGGCCACCTTAGCAAAGCGCATCCCAGGCTGCATAGCCACACTACCCTGCTCAACCGTACCACACATAAACATGACACCACCCCCGGGGTTTACACAGACGAGCCGGCGAAGCAAGAAGAGCGCCAGAAGAAAGGGCCCTAGCCGGCGGGGCCCAGCCAGGACAAAAAGGAGGTCCCACAAAGCGCCTACACCGGCCGCATTTGCGGTCGGGGTAAACGACGGATGGGGCCCACCTACGAAGGCTGTCCAGGCTTACACGAGATGAGGCAGGATAAAGAGGGATAATCTCCCTCGATCCCAAATCATTGAGGCCAATTTCTAGCCATGGAATAATGGCGTGAGTTCGATCATTGTTGGAACGCTTTAAGTACTACTACTAAAATCAGTTTTATATCTGTTGGAACGCCTATTTCGTTCTGCACAATCTCCGTCCGGTTCTGAACCAATTCTCTTGCCTGTTGGAAGGAAGCTAATATCTAATTATCTGTCCTACCCATATACCTTGTAAACTACATATATTGGTTACAGATAGAGGATAAGGTGACATCTAGCGGGTGATAAGGTCAATCTATATATTGTAAGGACACTTCAAGTGTCAAAGTGACAATAACATCCACAATTATTTATCTTATCAAAAGTCATTACTAATAATTATAAAATGGTTTGCAAACCTTTATCTTGCGTTTGCGGTAGTAAGTATACGTATATTCAATTTCGGCTTTCATAAATCTATAAATCTGTTCGTTTCAGAACTTGTGATACCCCAGAGGTTCGTTATGATGGTGATGTTGCATTTAGCCTTGTTAAACTCCTACCAGATGCGAGTTGTGTTGAACATAGCCATAACAGAGATGGTCCAACCAGCAAATGAGACTAGGGAGTTTGATTCCTGTCCTGAGTTCAAATACACGAAAGTGGATGTTACTGTACGTTTGCAGAAAATGGTTTTCCAGTTCTATTTCTTCTGTATTTCAGGGAGAAACCTATGATTGGCCCAGTTGGTTAGAGGCTTTTGTTCTTTATGCCTTCTATATTGGTTATATCTTAGGTAACCTTCCCGCAGGGTTTCTGGCGGACAAATTGGGAGCCAGGCATGTTCTAGGGGTGTGCATGTTGACATCTGTGATTACGACGCTACTACTGCCCATTTGTGTCATTTACGGAGGTCCCACGGCGGCGATCTGGTTGAGGGCCATATTGGGGATCGGCCAGGTTGGTACAAACTGCGTTCTAATCGAAGAAAACAGAGCAACAATTTCTTACCGCTATTTATAATTAAAGAAATATAGGTATTCATAGTAATAAAAATATTTTAACTGGTATTTGTAATAGATTTAAAAAATAAAATGGTTTCTAACGATTCACACAATACATTACATAATAACAGTTATCATAGAAACATGTCCGACCGATGTCTGCACAAGAAATAGGCTATTGACTATGTACCTTAGATAGGAACTACAACGTAACAGAAATTTTATTGTTTGATATGTTCAATTGACCCTAAAAAATGATAAAACCGCGGAGTGCTACCTTTTGAAGGGGTGCTTGACATTTTGACTGAATCACCCTGTATTTCAATCAAATAAATTAATAAATAAAAATTATGGTTGCTGTATTTCGTTTGCTATTTTAGTTGTGATCCTAATTGCTACTAATTGCTTAGTAACCAACAATAATCTCTTCTCACCTCATTTAATGTGAAAAATTTGACATTATTATTTCGTTTGGTATTGTAGTTACAACCCTAATCTCTATTATATTTTAGGGGACAATAGAAGAGTGGCGAAAGGTGTTTTGGATAGTGTTCGGAGTGTGCACAATAAATACTACCATTTACGTAATTTTTGGAAAAGTCGACCGGCAGCCCTGGGATTATCCTAAAGAAGAAAAAGAAGAAGAAGAAGGAGGAGGAAAAACTGAGTGAATAACTCTAGCGTACAAGTATATAGGAATGTAATAGGCTCTCAGTGTTATATGTTATAAGTATAGATATACTCATGTACTATATAGTAACTAAATAAAGATTTATGTATACATGCAAACAGAATAAATAGCTGAGATATACCTCAGTTATTCTAGATTCTGATTCGCCAATTAAATGAGATTAGCTGAAGTTCCAGAGCTGCAAAGAGAGACAGTCTAAACGTATTATATGTTTTGTGGTCTAAACCATATGAGTAAATAAATTTAATTTAAGTTAATCCGAGAGTAAATTGTACATACCAGGTCCGACCTTAAGATTAAAATGGAACAATTGCAATTTTTGCTTGCTATACACCAAATAAGGGCAATTTAGGTATACAAGGAGTTTTGAAATTTAGAATTAGCATTATTTTAATCAGTTGTAATTAAAAAAATACATCTTTCAAAAAATGTACGGAATTTTCTTCTAAATTAAAAATTGACCAGTATATTTAGATTGCACTTATCTAATATTCAGGTAAGTAAAATTTATTAGAAACTTTTAAGTAGTTATAATTTTTTAACCGAATTTGGTTATAACTACGGGAATCTCAGTAACAATTAGATGGTATGGAAAAGTTTATATGGACAAAATAGTGGATTTAATGTTTAAGCAACATTTCATAGAAAAAATTGCTTCCTCTTCGTATGAATATGGTTAAATAAAGAAAAAATCTTTCTTTTCAAAATTCGGCTGCTACTTCCTTCCGGCTAAAAAATTCTTGACATTTCCGGATCCAAAATAATTTCAGAAATGGTTNAATTTTTTAATTAAAAGTACAAAAATAATTAAAAGAATTCGAAATTTTACAAGATAAATATGATTAATTGTTGTTTAAATAAATAAATAATAATATTCAATCACCTAGAAACTTATTTTAACTTTCACATTCACAAAAATAAATTTATTAGACAAAATAATACCGAAAGTAATAAAAAATTTATAAAAATAAGAAAAAGTATCGTTGGTTAAATTGACATCTCGGTTGATTTTAATTGTATAAACTTCTACCAGGCACCATTTTAAAGGTCTTGAAACCAGATTTCATTTGAATATGGCATTACATATACCTAAATTAACAGAGAAAAAAGTTATAAGACAAAAATCCTCAAAAAAGGGCAAAAATTGGCCAAAAATCCAAACAGTAGCCAACTTTGATCCAATGTATCTCGGTTTCTATTAGTCGTAGCTACTTCTATAAAGGCTTATTTTAAAGGAAAAAACATAAACTTTTTTTTCTGTGACGCAATGCCTATACCTAACTCCTCTCAGAAAAAAGTTGTGGGCCAAAAACAAAAAAGATAAAAAAAACGCATTTTTTCGTGTTTTTTTACTCGTTTTTTGGGCATATTTTTTGTTAAAAATAAATTTTTTGACTTCAAAAGGTCTCATTTCGATTGGAAATTCAATTTGCTATAATTTTTCTGTTGACAACTATAGTGAAAAAATGCATAGTTTTCGAGTAAAACTCAAAAAACTGAAAATACCACCTTTTTATTTCGGCCTCAAAAACGCACC